AAATTCTGGGGCCCTGAGTACTCAGAGAATGTTCTAGAAGGGCACACTGGTTCTGTGCGGGTGTGTGCCCTTGGTTTCACTGTTCCTCACTCCCTGGGGAAGAGCACAGCTGGAGAAGGCTGGAGCAGGACCCTCCAGAGCACCGGACCTAAGACAGGGCCCCTCTTGCCCAGTCCAGGGGCTGTGCTGGTGGTACCCACCGTCACCACAGTAAGATGCATGAGACTGTAATGCAGCCGGAACCCTCTGGTCATCGGGTCGTAAAGAGAGCAAGGCAGTGAGACAAGATATTCTGGTGGTTGGCCGGGCACGGTGGCTCGCGCCTGTAATCCTAGCACTCTGGAGGCTGAGGCGGGCGGATTGTTTGAGCTCAGGAGTTCGAGACCAGCCTGAGCAAGAGCGAGACCCCATCTCTACTAAAAAAAATAGAAAGAAATTATCTGGACAACTAAAAATGTATAGAAAAAATTAGCCGGGCATGGTGGCGCATGTCTGTAGTCCTAGCTACTCAGGAGGCTGAGGCAGTAGGATTGCTTGAGCCCAGGAGTTTGAGGTTGCTGTGAGCTAGGATGATGCCACAGCACTCACTCTAGCCCGGGCAACACAGTGAGACTCTGTCTCAAAAAAAAAAAAAAAAAAGATATTCTGGTGGTTTGATGCTCCCAGAAGGATCTGAGGTGTTTGGTTTGAGGCTTGAAAAAAAAAAAAAAAAAAAAAAGATATTCTGGTGGTTTGATGCTCCCAGAAGGATCTGAGGTGTTTGGTTTGAGGCTTGAAATAAAGTCATCGTGCATGCGCGCAGCAACTGCTGGCTGCTTTCGCAGAAGCTCAGCACACAGCCCCGAGAAACATGCCACTCCACGCTGTCCTTGCCAGGCTACGCCCGCCGGCCTGAGGAGGAAACGCAGGTGGGTAAGGAGACGCCACACCGTGTGCGTCAGAGCATCTGCAGCCAAATCCTGCTCCATCACTCATGGGCTGCGTCCCACCCGCAAGTTTCTCCCAGGCCCAAATCGGTTATTTCAACAGTAAAACAGAGGTGATGGAGTCAGAAAGGGGAGGTAACAGGGGTACCTTCCTTACGGGGTTCGCGAGCGGCTTGAAGGAGGGAATCTGCACAAAGGACCAGGCCCAGCATCCAGCACAGAGCATGACCCTCCACACGCACGAGCTGTCAGAACCAAGGGCACAGGCTGGGAGTCCTCCAGCTGCGAGTCTGAGCTGGCTCAGTTACATCCTGTGACCGCCTACCCTCTCTGAGCCTCAGTTTCCTCATCTACAAAACTGGACAACAGAAGCTCTTACCTGGAGTTGTGAGGTAACTCCGTTGCGCACACGGAGCTCAGGTGTGCGGGGCAGCTCGTGTGCTATACGGAGTTAATTTGTTTGCTCTTCCAACCAATACATATATTGGTTGTGCCACTGCTACGTGCTAGGCACGATCCTAAATGCTGGGGACACAAGTGGTGCAAGGTCCTGCCCTGGGGAAGCTCAAGCTATAGCTCAGGGAGGTAGAAAGTAAATGTGTAAATAGGTCAGATCATGGTGCCTGCTGTGCAGAAAATAATTGAGGTGGGGTGTGAGGTTGACCCTGAGAAGGTGGCATTTGAACTAAGATCCAAACGACACCTGTGGAGATGTAGGAGAGACCCTCCATGAGTATGGGGGCAGCACTATTGTCAATAACGACACAAACTCGAGACCGGAAGGCAAGTCACAGAGTTCCGAATCATTGCCTACTGTTTGTGCAATGTCACGTCTCAAAAGGCGTCTCCCCAGCTGAGCTGTGGCCCCTGGTCAGTATATTTTATTTTCTTGGGCCTGATGATGGATGCTCCTTCCCTCCCTTCCGTCCCCCATCCCCAACATCCCTAATGTCCCCAGTATCCCCAGTATTTTACAGGAATTGTATATCCAGGCAGTAAGTGACCATTTTAACTGGAGATATTTTAAAGCTCCCCTTCTTCCCAAGAATCACATTCACTCCCAAACCCTGGGGTGTAGCCAGCAGACACGAGAGCCCTTCCCTCGCTCATTCATTCATTCAGCGAATGAATGAGTGCCAGGTAGGGCTTGTGCCTTCTAAGGAAACGGCAGAGCCCGTGGACCAGCATGAATCACGTAAGGCAGACTGAAAGAATAAAACAGACTTCCTGGGGGAAATTCATCCACCGGAACCTTTAGAACACGGGTCTGGCGCTATGTCCCCAGCTTGGGGCACCATCTCCCCAGGACTCCGGGAGAGACACGTTATGACTTCGGCAGGGCCCCATTGGGCTCGGTCCTTTAATTGCACCCCCAGTAGCGGCATTCCCGGGGGTTGGAGCAGGCGGAGGCACAATCCCAACCCCACACAAGATCCAGCTGAACCCTTGGCCAGGTTGGGGAGGTGCTGACGTCAGATCATCTTGTCTCACGCTCTCAGCAGAAGCGCTACCTGCACCGGGGGTCAGAGCCCACAGAGGGGCTCTCAGTGCTGGGGCTGCCATGGAGTCATTTCTCCACCTGCCCAGGGACTCTGAGAACAGACAGTCCCTCCGAGCCAGGGGTCCCCTCCACTGGAGCCCACACTGGGGAGCAGAGGGCAGACTGAGAGTCTCTCCCAGGTTGAAGTACAGAGAGAGAGAGAGAGAGAGAGAGGCAGAGAGACAGTAGGAAAGAAGGGAGGGAGAGAGGCCAGGAGGTGAGAGAAGAGGGAGGCAGGACCCAGCTCCAAAGCCACCCAGAGGCCCTCTGGGATGTGATGATGCATTGTGTGTGTCGGCTTGACTGGGCCATAGGGTGCCCAGATATTTGGTTAAACATTATTTCTGGGTGAGCCTGGGGCTTGGGGTGAGATTAGCACTTGAACAGGTAGCCTGGGTAAGGCAGACGGCCCTCCCCAGTGTGTTTGCCGGGCACCATCCCGTCCACCGAGGGCCCGAACAGAGCAAAATGGTGGAGGAGGGAGAAGCTACTCTTTTTCACCCGACTGCAGAGCTGGGTCTTCTCCTGCCCTTGGACTGGAACGAGACGACACCCTCGGCTCTCCTGTCTCCAGCTTGCCAAGTGCAGACCCTGGGACTTCTCAGCCTCCATGAGCTCATGAACCAATTCCTTGTAATAAATATCTTCGTCTGTCTGTCTCCTGTTGGTTGTTTCTCCGGAGAACCCTAACACACACATCCGACTACCTACTCTGGAGTAGGTCCTACCAGTTACTCTCGGTCATTTACTTTCCTCATGACGCTTCTACCTGCAATGACAGTTTTGTTTCCTTGTTTGTTTTCTGTTCTACCCACAAGAATGTGAGGCCCAAGAGAACAGGGAACCTGTCTTCCTTATTCAATGCACAACCACCATGCCTGGACCAGTACCTGGCACTGAGTAAGCGCTCGATAATTATTTACAGAAACGAGGATGGAAAGAAGCAATGAAGCAAAGAAACATAAGTAATGTATTATAGGGAACAATGGAAAAGTGATTCTCAAAAATACCCCAAGGGCTTCTCATGAGCCCCTGTTCCAAGTCTCAGCCCCCGGCCCGGGCCAACGCTGCTAACACGAGTCATCTTGTATTAACCCACTGGGGCGCAAGACTTGTTTGTTTCACATTGTCTCTGAACCAAAGTTCTGCATCCCACATCCTGGAAAACACTGCCTGTCATAGCCTATGTGCCAAAGAAATGTCACATATACCCTAAGGCCACCAATGGAGGTTTTTCAGAGGCCAACTCCCAGCATGTTTTTTTAGCATTTTGTTGATCCAATGCAACCTGCTGATTGGAATCCTGGCCTCCAGGAAAGTTTATCAAAAGTTCTGGAGATGACCAGTCCGGAACTGTGGCGTAGAGAATGGCGAAGTGTTACTTAGCTGAGGAGGGATCCAGGAAGGGGCTGGGAGAGAGGAACAACCCGAATGTACATTCAGAGGCAAGAATGACTGAGCAGAGAGACCATGACAATCGTACAAAGCAACTATCCTTCCTCTACAAGTTGCTCTCTCTTAGGATAAGGATCAGGGGTTGAGTTATGTCAACGAAATTTTTCCAACTTTTGGTAAATCCAGAAGCTTACCAAAATATAACAACAAACACTGTTTGGTCAGGTCTTAGCTTTTTCCTTGGTGCCATTTTAACCACACATGGTGTCTTGGTCCATTTCAACTGCTACAACAGAATACCGTAGTTTGAGCAGCTTGGAAACAACAGATTTTTATTCTCACAGTTCTGGAGGCTGTAAGTCTGAGACCCGGTGCTGGCATGGTTGGGTTCTAGTGAGGGCCCGCTTCTTGGCTCATAGACAGTGACTTCTCACCGGGTCCCCAAGTGGAAGAAGGGGTGAGGGAACTCTCTAGGTCCCCTTTCATGAGGGCTCTAATCCCATCATTCAGGCTGTACCCATGACCTCATCTAAACCTGATCACTTCCCAAAGGCACCACCCCCAAATACCATCATACTGCGGATTAGCTTTCAACGTATGAATTTTAGGGGGGCACAAATATTCAGTCTATTGCACATGGGTTTTTTGTTTTTGCTTTTGTTTGTTTTTTTTTTAGAGATAGGGTCTCACTCATTCTGTTGCCCTGGCTAGAGTGCAGTGCTGTGATCACAGCTCACTGCAGCCTTGAACTCCTTGCCTAAAGCGATCCTCCTGCCTCAGCCTCCCACAGTGCTAGGATTACAGGTGTCAGCCACCACGCCCGCCCCTTGCACATGGTTTATTCATTCTTGGTATAACATCCCAAGGTTGCTGAGGCCTATTAGACAAAGGGTGGAATTCTTGCTTCTGCAGAGAACGATCTGAATTTTAATCCCCACTGTTTGAGCTGCTGTTTCTTGGGAGGAAGGGGATGCTTCGTGACCTCCCAGTCCACATCGGAGAAAGAATGGCATAAAATCATCTTTGCGGTCAAAAGCCGCAAGCCTTCACATCTGCTGGGGAGGTTTTCAGCCATCAGCTACGAAGCCTGCCTCAGCCATCTTCTCCCCCAACACACACCTCCACCTGAGAGGCAGGCTCTGCCCTTCTCTGCTCTGCTGATTCTAAACCCTGTGACCAGGGGTTCCAGTGGGGCATCCAGGGGCCAAGACGCAGAGCAGGCTCTGTTCTGTTCACTGACAGGAGCCGATGCTTTTCCCTCCCTTCTCAGAGAGGAGCTGCTGGCTCGGAGCTGGACAATGAGGAACGGGAAGAGGTGGCTCAGTCGTCCTCGTCCTCGTCTTCGTCCTCTGTGTCTTTGTTGGGGGCGCACCTCTGGAAGCACTGCACCACGGTGGCCAGGAAGAAGCTGGAGATGATGGCGGCGATGGACACGGCCACGCCGGAGAAGATGATGATGAACAGGTCTGTGAGCGACAGGCTGAACTTGCACTCACTGAAGCTGGCCTCCGACAGCTCGCGCAAGGATACCCTCCTGTTCTCCACGGGCAGGGAGCACTGGATTGTGTCCAGGCCTGAGAAAGGGCGGGCAGAAGGAGAGAGAGGTTTAGGCTGCAGCGCGGGTTGCCTACAGGTTGACAAGGTGAGTGCTTACAGGGCCAGCAAAGCGGGAGCACACCCCAAAAATAAAAGGGGGGAAAAGCTGGTCTGAATGGAATGTAAACTTTTTTTTTTAAAGCCTCAGAGTAATCACCAAGGAAAAAATCAGAATATGCTGGTCTAAAATTTAGTACATTTTTGTTTTTTTTTTTTAAGAGACAGGGTCTTATTCTGTTGCCCTGGCTAGAGTGCAGTGGTGCAATCATAGCTCACTGCAGCCTCGAACTCCTGGGCTCAAACGATCCTCCTGCTTGAGCCTATTGAGTAGCTGGGACTACAGGTGTGCGCCACCACGCCCAGGTAATTTTTAAAATTTTTTGTAGAGATGAGGTCTCACTATGTTGCCCAGACTGGTCTTGAACTCCTGGGCTCAAGTGATCCTCCTGCGTCAGCCTCCCAAAGTGCTGGGATTATAGACGTGAGCCACCATGCCCAGACCAGAAAAGCCCTTTTAAATTCTGCTTTATATATTGGGGTTGTCTTTAATATTTCACGTGAAGAATGTCTGACTCACTTAAGAAGAAATTTGAAACCCTCCAGTCTAGAAAAATACCAAAACTGAGTGTGTGCTGAGCAAGTACTTTATAACAATAAATGCTACATAGAACTTACCATGGGACAGCCACCGTTCTAAGCACTTGGCCTATATTAATTAATTTAATCCTTACAACCACTCCACAGGGTAGGTCTCAATAGCATCCCCATTTTACAAATGGGGAAACAGGCTCAGAGAGGTGGAGTAACTTGCCCCAAGTTGCACAGCTAGTAAGTGACCAAGCCTGGATTCCCACTCAAGCAGTCTGGCTCCGGAGACCTGGCCTGTAGCCCCTATGCCTGTGTAAGACAAAGAGGGAGGAAAGCCAAGAAGAGAAGAGCCGGGGGTGCAGGAGATGGGGACACAGGAAGCTGATGTTTTCTTCCCATGGCTGCCATAAAGTGGTAGGGACAGAAGTTGCCAGCCAGCTGGTGGTGACAGACGGGCTCCTAGCCCGTCTGTAACACAGGCTTACAACCTGTAAACACAGGTTTACAATATTTTTAATTAATTAATTAATTAATTTTTAGAGACGGGGCCTTGCTCTGTCACCCAAGCTAGAGTGCAGTGGCCCAATCAAAGCTCACTGCATCCTTGAACTCCTGGGCTCAAGTGATCCTCTTGCCTCAGCCTCTCAGGACTACAGGCACAGGCCTGGCTAATTTTTTGTAGAAACAGGGTCTTGCTGTGTTGCCCAGGCTGGTCTCAAACTCCCAGCTCAAGTGATCCTCCCACCTCAGCTTCCCAAAGTGCTGGGATTACAGGCGTGAGCTACTGCACCTGGCTGGTTTATAACATTTCAGAGATACCGCCCCACTGACTGTTCCCTTATCACTAAGCCATTTCTCTTGGGGAACCCCATCTGCCACCAGGTCAAGTAGGGGGCAGTGAAGAGAACTGCAGGTAAATTCTACACTCCCATCTACTGACATGAGCCTACGGGGAGACCTGCCTGAGGCGTGAGAAACTAGGCACCATGAGAGGTGGCTGTCTAGACACTCGTTTATTCATTCAACAAATATGTGCTGAGTACTTTGTGTGGGCCAAGAGACTGGTGATAAACAAGGCTCAATAAGGCCCCTACCCAGAGCATGTAAATTCTAGTGGGAGAATACAGACATTCATTTATGTCACGAATTTTTTTTTAAGTATTTGCTATGTCCTAGGCCTTCAGGACACGGCAGTGAATAAAACAAAACCCTTGCCTTTATGCAGCTTACGTTTCAGGCAATAAATCAGTAGACAGAGTTATTTAATAATAAAATGTTCAGGATGAAACATGAGGGTGAAATGGTAAAGAATGTCTGGGACAAAAGAGTGTCTTTGGATGGGGTAGTCAGGAGGTGTTATCTTAGCTAAGGTCTAAAGGATGAGATGGAACCAGCCATGGGAAGAACATTCCAGGCAGAGAAGATAAGCTAGGCAAGAGCTTGGCACCCTGGAAACACAGAGCAGCCAGGGGCAGCAGAGTGGGCAAAGGGGAACTTGGCACGAGCTGAGGCTGGAAAGACAGACGTGTTGAGACAAAGCCCCTCATGGCCGATATTCTGTATGAGTAATATGAACAGAGCCCCCCAGCCCCAGCCCCAGCCCTCGCTGGACATGAACCAAAGATACATGAACCAAAGTGGCTTGCATACTGCTGAGCCACTAAAGACTGTTTGTTACCAAGCATCATGTGCCCATCCTGACTGGTACATAACACAAACTATGCACCAACCCAAATGACTGCCACGACTTTACAAATCTCAGTTACAAGAGAATGCATGATATTAGAATGCATAAAGAGCTCAGATCTTCTGTTTCTGATCTGGAAGAGGAGAGAAAACAAAGTAGTAGTAACTAATAGTCACACTGCAGACACTGCTTTAAGTGCTACATATGTATCTACTCTCAGGTCTCACAGCCACCTATGAGTAGGTACTGCAATTATGCCCATTTTATGGATGAGAAAACCGAAGCACCGAGAGTTTACATAGCTTGCCTTTGGCAACACAGCTTCAAGGTGATGAAGCTAGGATTCGAACCCAGGCATTTGGCTCTGGAGACTGCCTCTTACCCTTTGATCAATAAGGTCCCCTTTTTCCAGCGGGAGTAGCCATAGAGATGTGAGGACACCATCTTGACACGAAGCTCAACAGCCTTCACTCTCTGCTTACCTCTGGCTTCCTTCCGACTCTCAGGAAAACCTCCCCTGCGCTCTTCCCAGTGCTTCCAGGTTTTGACTAGTTGACCCTCCACCCACTCCAGCACGATCTGAAAGTCGGGATGATTTCCTCTCACCTCGATAATTAGCTGGCTTCTGTCCTCCAAAGAGTAGCTCTGCTGATTGCACAGGAACCCTGCAACCAACCACTCTTGGAGTTTTTATCTGTGTGTCTTTTCTTCTCCAGCTCAGAAAGAGATGGTGGTGGAAGAGTATCTGAGCTTCCTCCTTCCTTCTAGCCTGGTCCATCTTTTACGTAGTCTACAACCAACCCACCGATGCTTTCCTCCCTGTGGGAACCACTGCCTAGCAACCAGCCTCAGTGCTCCCTCTCCCCCTGCATCAGTGTCTGCTCTACAGAGCCAAGGAATTAGCTCTGTAAGCTTCTTCAGTTTATACTTGATTACAGTTTTTGACTCTCTTTTTCTTAAAGAGGCCAAACTTCTGTCTACTTCTTCTGAGCATTTTAAATGCATCTGAATAAAACAGGAGAGCTTTACGACAGGGTTACACTGGAGTTCCCTTGCAGACACTGATTTCTTCAATGGAAAAATGGAAAATGCAATCAACCTGCCTCCTCTTAGCAGCTCACATCCAGCCAAACACGTGCAGATAAATAAGATGGACACCAACGGATCACACGAAGCACAGGCAGTTTCTAAAGACAGTAGATTATTTGCAACCTTCAAGCTAGTAACAGGTCATTATTTAGCTACAGAAACTTTCTAAAAATCCTTGCCTTCAGTTAAGCAGTATTAAATGGAAAACAACCACAACACAGTAACACAAGCCCACAGTGCCTGTCATTTTAATCCAGCCTTTGCTGGACACGACTTCTCGAGTCAATTTTGATTTCCACAATGTTCTTTGTGCCTTGAGATTGGTCTTGGCATTTTTACAAAGCGACAATTTTAGAAAATGTCATCTCACATTCTCTGTGGCTAGAAGAAATGGGCTTGTTTGAAAAACGCTGCACGCAAGCCCACCAGGGGCGGGGGACTTTGGAACGACGATAGTGGCGCTATCATGATAAGATGCACTGACTGGATGGGTTTTCATAGCTCATAAAGTGCAGAGAAATAAGAAGAGTTGGACAAAGAGAGGCAGGCAGGCAGACAGGGCCCAGCAGAAGGCAGGAGGATACTGCTACTGAAGCATCTCAAAGGGCTATGAGACCAACTGCAGAACTCTGGAGTCGGTATAGTCTGATTTGGGGGTCCCCTCTTCTCCCCTGCAGGACCTCAGTTTAGACCATGGTTTCTCAGCTTGGGCACTACTGGCATTTGGGGCAGGATAACCTTTTGATGTGGGGGCTTTCCTGTGCACTGTAGGGTGTTTATCGGCATCCACGCCTCTACCCACTGGATTCCAGCAGCAACCCCCACACAGTGGGACAATAAAAAATGTCTGCAGACATTGCCACATGTCCCCTGGGTGGGGAGGACGAAGTCCCCTTGGTCGAGAACTACTGCTTTAGATTGAAATGCTCTGCTAAGTAGGCAGCTGTCATGGACTGAATGATTGTGTCCTCCCAAAATTCATATGTTGGAGCCCCAGCCTCCAATGCGATGGTATCTGGAGATGGGGACTTTGGGAGGTAATTAGGGTTAGATAAGGTCATGAGGGTGGGGCCTTCCTCATGGGATTAGTGCCCTTATAAGAAGAGACACCACGGAGCTACCTGAGCCTGTCTCTGTATCTCTCTCTTTCTGCTTCTCTCTCTTAGTCTCTGCCATGCAAGTACGCCGCAAGAAAGTGGCCATCTGCAAGCCAAGAAGAGGGTCCTCTCCAGAATGCAGCCCTGCTGGCACCTGATTGCAGACTCCCAGCCTCTAGAACTGCAAGGAAGCAGATGTCTACAGACGTCTGCTGTCTAAGCCACCCCGTCGATGGTATTTTGTTATGGCAACTGGAGCAGAATAAACAGTAACCTTCTAAGGCGGGCCTGCTCTTAGCTGCTCAGCAGACATTCAGTTATTAAATGGCTTCCTTTAATTCAGGCATTAAGAAAAACAGGTGGGGCCTTATGCTTAGGGCAGTGATGGATATGAAAGAAAGGGAAAAAGGAGGAAAGAAAGAGACAAAGAGAGGCAGGGAGGAATGGAGAGAGAGAGGGAGGAAGGGATGAAGGGAGAGAGAGACAGAGAAGAGAGAGAGACAGAGACAGAGATAGG